ATTTCTATCAACAAAGAACTCGTTTTTCATTAGCTTTCATATTTGCTGTAATTGCGTGTTGGCATTATTTTCAAAGAAAGCCTGCAATGATGCATGCCTTAACGTTTATCACGTTGATAAAACCCACGAGAATGGGGATTGTGCTGACAAACTCACTGAAACATAATTCGAACATAGGCTTCTTCCATAACCAAGGGACGAAACTCCTCACAGCGAATTGGATTGTTGGGTCACCCGTTTCCCTTTCGTACTTCAATACAGCAGTTAAAATATCTGTATCTCTACAGCGAGGACGTGTATTATTAACCTTAGTATATGTGTCAAGAGATGCAAATATATTTGTCAACTAAAGGGTGACTTCGTGTCATCGTATCCTGATGGCATAACACTATGCCATCTGTGGTCCAGACTCAGGACTCTCTTATGATAGTGATCGTCATCTAGCCACTCCAGCACCTTCTGCAACAGCCCCGGCACCTCTTGGTCCGACACCTACATCAACAGGCGGTTGGAGAACTCAAAGTCGGCACACCATGGCCAGCATAATATACTACAGAAAAATACTCCAGTCCTGTGGGAAAAGGCGAAGCTAAATATTCGTGGAAGAAACGCTTAATATTGGACTTATACGTGATACGTGACGAAGATATTCCCAGTTTGAACAAACTAATCGACAAGGACTCTCTCTCTCTCTCTCTCTCTCTCTCTCTCTCTCTCTCTCTCTCTCTCTCTCTCTCTCCACCACTGTTCAGAAGTTACATCACCATGTCAGCTTTGTCGGGAGATTGTCGCAACGATCTTGGTAAGGTGGAAGGGCATTTTCTTATTCGATGAGTTACAGGTTTCACCTGACCTTGATATCGAAATGTTCACTGATACCGCTGCTACAGTGGGACATGGGACATTACCAAGGGACACAGCTTGCAGAGAAATGGCCTAAGGACGTGTTGTGCAATATGGCTGGTTAACTGTCAATGGCGTTCATGGAACTGTACCCAGTGGCTGGCACTGGCGCCCAATGCTCAGCCTCACTCACCTCAGCCCCACACAAGCGGCCCCTCCCATTAGTCACGCCACGCTATTTCTTTCGTAAAATATAACCTTAAAATACAGTATAAGTCAAATCTCAAATAATACATTCAGGTACTACTACCTTCCTCGGATTCCCACAATGGAACGTATTGGCTTATTTCTTAGTGTATTTATCGATTCATCTTCCTGTAAAATTGCTGGAACATTATGTAAATAAATGAGCATGATTATGTTACTGTATTATCTAATGGTTAATGTACAGCTGTTATGTTCCTAATTTTCTTTCATTAACTCCTTTATTCTGAATCATCTACAAATACATGTACTCACAATTTGGAATTACCAATTATATTCTTATCCAGGCTCATTAAAGAATACAGAGATGCAATTTATTCTGAGACTGAAAACAAAAACACATACTTTTGAATGCCTCGAAAATCAAATTGCCTTGTTAGGCCCTTCGTGACTTGAACCTGGTAGTTATTCAAGCAAGTGTGTACTGGTATGCAAAATGATGGTAAACGGACAGATCAATGAATGACTAATTTAACAAATGTTGCATTTAGTTATGAACATACTGTCTCCTTCTTATATTGTTTTATAGATTGTTTTATCATAAATTGTTATGAAATAATATGCATGCACATACTCTTCACTAATGAAGGAAATCTGGAATGTTAATCGTACAATGCACGTGCACTTACTTTCAACTGACTCGTCTTTGTCACAACATATTGAATGCTTCCAGACGTAATTTATGTGCGACGTTCCCAGGCTATACAGCATTTCCACTGATTGAAAAGCCGATTACGTACATTTCACGAGATTTTATTCGAGGAAACATCCATAATATTAAATAAACGACACCCCCGGGCAAAAGAAAGGACGTGTATACACACATGTTTGATGGTGGCTAAGATTGAAACAAACAAGAGAAGGTTTTCGTTTGTGAAGTATTTGATACGGTATCAAAGTTGTGTTTTGGACTTGTGTTTTCGATTTTTTTCGGCCTTTCAACGTTCGCAATTTATTGGTTAATGCCAATTTTCAAGTAATGATTTCTTTTGCCCATCAGTTTACACGCCCTTTACATTTTGAAACTTCAGGATATAAATCTAAACAGAAATGGTAATATGATGCAAATGCATTTGATTGTATGACATTGTTGAACAGCTATACAATTATCTTTCAAATTTATATTTTTAAATTGTCGCAGAACATGTCACACGGTAATATAAAGAATTAACGTTACTTCATGTCATCCAGGTTGGCATTGAAAGTAATCATCATGGCGATCTTGTTGTCTAAGAAATTATCCGCATGAGAATATTCTGTGGATGGCTTTCAGAGTTCTGAAGGTATATGTCCCTGTCTTCCACTCGCGATGGTTCCCACTCAGGTGAAGGTCTGCTTGCAAGACTCAAGCGCTGCAAAAGAAATGTTTCACAGGACAATTGATAAGTTCTGGACCATTGTTGGTATTCACGTTAGTCTAATATGTCCCAAGTTTGGTGTTAACGTTAAAAGGTTCCAAACCTGTCTCTTCACCGTACAGCATCACTATAGCCGATTAATTGAATATGAGTTTTTTCAATGTTAAGTCAGGGTTTCTCACGTCAATGTCAGGACACATTCTGGGTTAGGGGACGACACTAAACACTGATTTAGTAACGCTTTAATTTTATGATTTACAGTGTATCTCAGACGTAAGGATTCAAGTACAATGCGTAAAACGTACCTCGCAAAGGCTCCCCTTTCCCTTTACAACTTGGTACACAAAGGTGATAGGTATGGACAAAGACATCACCACTGCAACCATGATACCTATCATCTTTGCATATTCAGGGTAGATGTACTCGCCATAGCTTGGTGGATCATATTGAAACAGGGAGCATATCAGGGAAGCCTGAAAATATATGAAACTTCTCTGTACATGCTTGCAGTGGTTTTGTTCACAGTTGATGTTTGATTGTTCTTGTAAACAGAGAGTGAGTGAGGGGGTGAGAGAGAGATTGACAGATAGACACACACGCACGCACAAATAAACACACACTCCTCAAGTCTTGCCGAGACCATGAAATCAATATATTAAAGACAAAACTCTGATTATCAAGATTTTTTCTTGAAACATCTGATGTATAAATAATATCTCGACCTGTTTCTGAAATGAGTATATGCTCACGAGACAACATTTTCCTCTCCACAGCGAGAGTTTGACAACTGGGGCCAATATTGGGATATACCTGGATCTTATTGCAATAGTTTTCACACTTCCGAATACAAGCGTCACTTATTATAGGTTTGACAGTGTTTTGTCAATGAGTTTTTTTACTTCAATATTTGTGCGACCTACTACTTGAAAACTGCTACATATATTCTTTCAAACTTTGTGAACACTATCTATACCAATCGAAGAGATGCAGTACAAAGTTTGATTTAAATACTGTAAAAATACAGCTATTTTTCACCAAGAATTGTTTTACTTAAACATTTGTGCGACCTATAACTTGAAAAATCACTACATAAATTCTTTTCAAATTTAGGGGACAGTTTCCAAACTAGCAGAAGAGATGCAGTGGAAAGTTTGATTTGGTATGCATATTTTCTGATGAAATGTGATTTTTTTAACGTATTTTGTAAACTTTACTTCAACATTTGTGCGACCTATAACTTAAAAACTACTTTATGGAATCATTTTTAATTGGGGGTACAGTTTCTTTACCAACAGGATTTCGATAAATGGCTTTTCTGTGAAACTATTGCATTTTTCATGTCTTGAACTGAGAAAAATGTTGAAGTCGAGGTCGGGGTTATTAGTGAGCCCTGCGCAACTTTTGCCTTGTTTATTTGTTTGTTTATTTCTTGTCTTAAGCAATACTCCGCAAAATTCCAGCTATCTGCCGGATTAGACAAGACAATCCAGTGACTGACATCATGAGCAATCGGGATTCGATAACATCCGCCCTGACCGCCCAATTCTGGTATGGATACCAATTCTAACCCTTGTCATGAGGGATTGGTGTTTTGATTTGACATCACTGTATTGCCATGTATCGCCAGTTAGATCACTCGCTTCGCTCCTGCTACAGTGATTCAGTCACTGCAACAATAATTAGGATATTACATCAAACTTTGGTGTGTACTTACAAAGAGAATGAAAGGCGTTAAATAGGATGACAGGATTTTGAGCAACACTGGAAATCGTCTTCCTGTCATCATCTCAATATCATTGCTGAGTCTCTTTGAACCTACAAAACATAAAAGCGACGTTAACACTGTGCGACTGTAGGACTATGTGTAAAACCGGTAAACTGGTTGTAGTTTGGTTGTAGCTTGGTTGTACTCTCACAATGAGTGAGTGGGATGGCGTTAACGCCACTATTAACGATACTCCAGTTATGTGATGGTTAGGGCGGTAGCCTAGTGGTTAAAGCGGTAGATCGTCAAGCCAAAAAGTCGGGTTCGATTCCCCACATGTGTACAATGTGTGAAGCTCATTTCCAGGTGTCCTCCGCCGTGATATTGCTGTAATATTGCTAAAAGCGGCCTAAAACTATACACACTCACTCACTCTCGATGTGATGGTTATAAGGCAGATGTTGGGGAAAACCAGCAGTTAATGCAGGTCCGAAGGGTTTACAACTTGCGTGAAACCTACGTGTATGATGTTGCTAACTAAGTATTCATCGGGACGAATATGTTTAGAACCCGTGGTCATAAGATTCTGGCATGCCAAAGGGACGCAACTGAGGCAATGAGATCCTCAACTCTCCAGCTCACAAACATTACATCTACACAGTTCTGACAATACTGTGCCAATACAACATAAAATATATATAATGTCAACGCAAAAGAACAATCAGTCTACATTGGGCATAGAATCCACTTGTTGTAAAATGCAAAATGATGTCTCAAGGTGTTAGCGAACGGGATAAGCATGTCCAGCTTATAAAAAGAGTGTTTCTGACTTATCGCAAATTGTGCCACATGGTTTTACCATAGATCCAGTTGATGACGACACACTCGAGACAGCCAATGAGCAGTGTGCTAAAGGAGGAGGCGTACCATTCCATCAGTTGGAAGAGGTAAATCCCACCCTGCATAGAGGATAATATGAGGTTTATATTTTAAAAGAGATAAATCCACTCCAGAAGCACTAGAGATGGTTCTCCTTCAGTATCATAATAACATATTATGCTTTGAATTTTGTATCTTCTCTTGCACATTCTTCTGTTCCACAGTGTTACCTAAATGAACTCTAATAAAAGGGACCAGTCAAACCACCTCAACAGTTTGAAATAATGCGCAAAGATACAAAGGATTCCAAAAACATCATTATTTGACATAGTTTGTTTGTTTGTTGATTAACGCCACACTCAGCAGTATTAAAACTATATGAGGGCGGTCTGTAAATAATCAAGTCAGGACCAGACAAGCCAGTGATTGACATCATGAGCATCGATCCACGTTGTTGGGATACGATGACATGCATCAACCAAGTCAGCGAGTCTGACCACCCGATCCCGTTAGTCGCCTCTTTGACAGTGATTCACATAAATATATGTTTATGTTATAGTCCGAATCATTCAGTGGACTCGTCTGATGGCGATTTCGTATGATCATGGACATGTTTTTGTCGCTTATATTCACACCCCTGTCACAAATCAAACGTGGATAATTCGATACGGATAAGACGATACCTGTTAGTTGGCACATCACTCAACTGTATTCCGTTCCATTATATGACATAAACATCTGATGACAAAACAATGAACATACAATGCAGTATTCATGATTGTAGAAGGATGAAGTATGATAGGGTCCACTAAATCTGCATACTTTTAGAAATGAGCAAAGCTTTCAAAATGTTCGCATGGATGCGTCTTATACCATTCTTGTCAACACTCCATGTTTCGGACAAGGACAAGGCAGGCTTTTTAGATGAGTTTTAACGGCATCAGGATGATCTTAGTGGTGATAGAACGCTATGGACTTAATGTTTGAACATTACGAAGATGTTTTCCGTAGGATGTAGGTCAATGCAGTGCACACTTGGTCCTACAGGTATACAAATTCACCTTTGTTATTCGTCTTGAAATGTCAATCAGACTTGCAACACGGTAGACACATATAAATAGGCTAGTTATCAGTCATAATAATATTCATAATCATAAACATATTTCCTTGTGTTGAATAAACATGTCAGAAGAAGTCTCAGAATATCTTATTCCTCCAAACGTTAAGCCTGTCATAGGGATAGTGCTTTGTAGGGAAGGTCAAATTTGTTCTGAGTTCAGATCTTAATCTAATGAACAGGTTTCGCAGTGAGATATACGTACCTCGGTTACAAAGGGAATGGACACAACGAAGCTAAGTAGACACACGCCAGCAGTCACACACATTCGTCGTTGTTGAAGGTATTTTGGACACGCCTCTATGATTCCAGCTGTGGTCGTTTCCGTTAGACCAAACTGCGAAAGTACGAAGTTAACTTTAGCAGTTTTACAAAGTAGCAATGTGGTAATGGTTACATGATGGTGATGATGAATATCAAGTTGTTACGAGATTGAAGTGAAGCTCATTACTGGTGTCCTCTCGCCATGATATTGATGGGGTATTACAAAGAGCGACGTAAACCCATACTCACTCACTAACAACTGTTTAATAAGCATTTACATTAATGATGGCATCTGCGTTTTGCAAGCTCTGTACATATTTCACACATATCTAATTGTAATTAATCGTGCAGTTTCCATCTGGTATTGGGGGCACGGGTGGCCCAGTCGTCTAAGGCGCCGCGATTCGCTGTGCAGAGTTGCGTCCCTTGGGCACGCCAGAAACCTATGATTGTGGGTTCGAATCCCGGTTCGCCCCAATAATGTTTCTAGGTTTGTCAGCACCATACCCGTGCTCGTGAGTTTCACGGAAGTAGTAAACGTCTGAGACCTGCATCACCTCGGGCTTTCCTCCCACATTAAGCTGACACGCCCTGATATAACTGGAAAACTGTTAAAAGCGGCGTTAAACCCAACTCACTCACTCACTCACTCCATCTGGTATTAAAACTTCCTTGAACAGAAGGTGCTACATGAGGCGAAAAACTACTCACTCACTACTGTTCAGTTATCATTTACATGGCACTTGCGTTTTGCAGGCACTGTACATATTCACAACGGTTAAGTGTAAGTTGGTAGTGCAGTTTCCTTCCAGCATTAAAACGCCCTTGAACAGCAGGTTAACGTGTCATGAAAGAGTCATCTAATAATATCTCAACGTTATTAATATTGTATACCATAGAATCTATTCCCATCATAAAGAGCATGATGAAGAAGAGGACTGCCCACAGTTGAGACACAGGAAGCTGGGCGATGGCCTCTGGGTAGATGATGAATCCGAGACCAGAACCTGCAACAGATACATGTATGTCTATTAGTTGTATGCTGTCGTGAGTGTGAGTGAGTGAGTTTAGTTTTATGCCGCTAATTACAATATCACCTCGGTGAACACTACAAATGGACATTGCACCAATTTCAAGAATAGAACTCAGGCCTCCGGCCTCCAGAGTTGCAGCTCATGTGTTACAAAGTCTGTTTTATCGCCGCATTGAACAGCATTTCAGTTGAATCACGTGTCCGCTTGATGTGGAGGAAAGCTCGGGATGATGAAGTTCCTCGGCTTTAGCCACTTTGGTGAAGCCTTAGAACACGGCTATGTTGTCAACAAACCAAGAACGATATTCAAGGCGAACATCTCTAATTTCGGTGCCTAAGCCCAGCTGACCACACGTACCCGGAATTGTCCTGAGAGAATATTGAACCAAATCATAAGGGTATGATACCCATACACACACACGGGCTTTAATTGCAAAATGGAAATTATTACAAACATAATATTTGTGAAATATCTCCCACAGTAGTCGTTTGGGGATATATTTTTGGATACCATCCACCGACGTCTTTTTCATCAGTTTCCATAATTTATTAATTATTTGGGGTATACGGGTAGGACAAGGCGCGTTTACCCTTTTCGCGAACAACTGGTGTCATCACTGATTTTCAGAGATCCATTCATATACTTTTCGGCACAAGTTTGGCTTAATAGGTAAGATTTGTGAAATATCTCCCACAGTTATCGTTTGAAATGGTATGCATGTGTATTTATGGATACCAGCCACAGACGTGGTTTTTCATCATATTTGCTTGTATACATGTCCATTGCTATTTAGTTTATTACTTCTGTGTGGTATCAGGGAACAAACACATATTTGTATGTAAACTGTGGCGGGTGCATCGGTTAGGACAGGACACGTTTACCCTTATTGCGAGCACCTGGTGCCGTCACCACACCGTGGTGTTCATGGTTAGCTCATTTGGTACTGGGGCGGTCGGTTACCCAAGTGGTTAAAGCGGTCGCTCGTCACGCCGAAGACCCTGGTTCGATTTCCGATATTGGTAGAATGTGTGGAGCCCATTTCTGGTGCTGGAACATTGATGCGTAAAACCATACTTACTTTATCACTCACTCATTCATTTGGTACTTTTCCAACCATAACTTGTGTCAGGTTTCCCACTTTACAAGGTATAACAACCGACGGACACTTCTACAACTGTCTTCCCATTCTTTAAAGTGTAATTCCCTGGAACAAAACAGTGTGTTAATGTTACGAGTAGGCGTAGCTGTTGTGAACATGAAGAGACAGCTCAGTTGCCACCTCGTCTGTTTGATCAATCTCAATCAAAGTTCATGCACATGTCTGTGACAGTTTGTCACACTTGTCAATGAAATCTATGTATGGGTCAATAAGTAAGCAACAGATATATTTACCTGAGGATACAACTTCTGATATCGGTATCTGCGCCTGGTGTGCCATGAAGCCCAGTGTGGAGAAGACCACAAGACCACAGAGTATACTACTTACTTCACCAATGACGGTAACTAACACAACGTCTCTGAAATACAAGACATCCAAATAGTTGATGTCTTCTTTTCGAATGCAAATTTTACCAACAAGCGAGACTGGCGCAAATGTGGTTCCTGTTTTGACTTGTGCCATCTGTTCCCGTGTATTTTCATTTGGGCAATTGACTCGCCTTTGCATGTATTTGTAACGGATACCACCGGTTTGGTACGCAGGATACGCTCATCCTTTTCGGGAACACATTTTGATAGTGATCCATAAACACATGCTTATGATATAGTAGGAGTCGTGCAGGACTGTGATTACGGAATGTTTTTGTCGCTTTTATATACTGGTCTCCGTCAAGGAATCTGCATACGCTACATAATGGGATCTTCCCCAATTTCACACAAGCTGAGTATCGTAACAAACAGCAGGTGGAATATCGATCACTTCACCTCAATCATAAACGCCAGTATCTCTATTACAAACATTGAAGCACAGCAGACCTGAAAAGTTTTAATACAATATAAAGTGCGTGGAGTTTCACATGTGTTACTCATCATTAAAGACCACGAACTTAATTTTTGAAGTTAACTGGGGGCACGGGTGGCCCAGTCGTCTAAGGCGCCGCGATTCGCTGTGCAGAGTTGCGGCCCTTGGGCACACCAGAAACCGTTGATTGTGGGTTCGAATCCCGGTTCGCCCCAATTATGTTTCTAGGTTTGTTAGCACCATACCCGTGCTCGTGGGTTTCACCGAACTGGTTAACGTCTGAGATCTGAATCATTTCGGGCTTTCCTCCCACATTAAAAGCGGCGTTAAACCCAGCTCACTCACTTAGAAGATAATTAAGCATAACAATTTACTTCAAAGGTCTGTTGTAGAAGTTGTTGTAGCTGCTCATGGTGATGAGTGCGCCGTACGTAACGCTCGTTGAATAGAAACCTTGGAGCAGCGCTTCTAACCACACCTATACAATACAAGGTCATTGATGTTGTCTTATAAGAGCTGTGAGACGTGTCGTAATAATAGTCTTTATATATGAAAGTAAATTGAGCACTGTATAGCAAAGATATATAACTATATGTCTCTATCTTTGCTCTCTCGTTTCCCGTCAGATGATTTAAATTTGCCTAAAGTTAATGTGTTGGTACTTCATTCAAAAGGACTCTGTGACAAAAATTCATAAGTAACGATGAACGAAAATAAAATGTTATTACGAAATTCATATACGAGTTCAGATATGTACAGTGTCGTCAAACCGGTACACATCCACATATGGGGAACGACAGTCACACATGTTACTACACAGTCTGTGTTTTGATGGATTAGGTTTTATACGGGACTTAGGGTGCTTATCGATATCAATTGTGGTCATCAAGATTATTAAAGATAAATAATTAATACACATCTGAGAAAGGGCAATATGGAACGGCTACAAAGGATTGGTGTTCAGGGGAACATGACACCCTGAAGAACAAAGGCAGAGAACTATTGCGAAATCTGATGAAAGAAAAGATTATTTCAACATACATTATTTTGACAAAAACATTACGAACTCTACCTGAACAGAAGCGAGTCGTGAGAAGTCTGGACGTAAGAAGTACAGTATTCCCTCCCCTGATCCCGGCATCATGCACGACCTTATGAGCAGCATCGTCAGCAGGATATACGGCACCAATACAGTCACATATACCACCTGCAAATACCAACCTGTAGTATCAAGTGAGGACAACACTCAACCCAGAATTATGAAACCACTAAACATACTGTTACAGCGAGTGAATGCGTGTGTGAATGTTGCTTTATGCATCAGTCAGGAATGTGTCAGCCATATCAAAATCATGGCAGCTTTTAAATAATCGAGTCTGGATCAGTGACTGAAATCCCGAGCAAAGGACGACTCCATCGGGGCATGGTTAGATGCAATACGTCAACAAGCCTGACCACTCGATCCATTTTAGTCGCCGTTATAAGACGTATAGGTTAGGCGTCGATCATTATATGTTTGGGAGAAGGTGATGTGATCCGTTCTCAGATATGCTGGTACACATTACTTTGCCTTTTAACCAATTTAATTCAATTCTATTCAGGAATCCATGGATCTACTTAATAGATCAGATAATGAAATCAGTGAGGTGATTGCTTCGCGAATGGCGGTTCTTACCTTTCCTACAGACCTGATGCCTTTCATGAGACAGAGGAACACTACAACCCAGGAAGCAAGGTTACAGAGAAGGAGATGAACCTGGACTGACCCGAAGTTGTTGATTCCACTGGACACCCTCAGAGTGCCATATCTGTCACAGTAAATGGAACGGTTTCATATGTTTGTCTTATTCACAGTCTGTCGGAGTGTGTCAGTAAACGTTAGTGACGTTGTTGCATATATAATATGAGACGTCAACACGAGAGAATAAACTCGTCTCGATTATCAGCCGAATAAGATTCCATCGGAAGCAAAAAAGCGATGAAGATAAGCATTGAGACTGATTTGGACATCAGTCCAAGAACATTTGATTCTAAAGGCTAATTACCCTGTAGCCATGACATAACTCCACGACTTAATTGTCATTATTAATTAGGCGCTAATCTCCGTTCTAATCTTCACCAACATTTCATTGTATATTGACTGTCAGTCAACCTGGACTACCATATCACTTCCCGTTAATTCCTGTTATTTATAGTATGACATTTATTGCCTTAATTGTTGACCCCATGAGCTGTGTCGGTTCATCACGCCCATATGTCACATGTCCCGAGCAACGCCATTGTCTCTTTGTCTGCCCATTGTCGTTCATTACTATATATGTGTTACCATTACACGGTTAGGTAGCTTGGTATTCCAAGCGCTGGTGTAAGGACGACCTGGAGCAGGATGTGCCGCTCGTAGTTAACGTCCTGCGGTTGAGCTGGAGCTCCGCTTATGTCCTGTTTGCCTGAGCTGGAAGGTCCGCTCATCGCCCTGATTGTGTTGTCAGAGCAGGTATTCCGCTCATTGTGTCTTTGTTGTTTATTGTTTATACGTTGAGCATAAAACGTTTTGGGACAGTGATGCCGATTTTGTCTTTGATTCCCCCAAGAGCCAATTCCCCGTAATCATTCGCGTTCACAATAATATGATTGGATCACTCTAAATCAATGACGACACCAGGTGTTCGCGTAAAGTGTGAGCATTTTCTTACCCATTTATTCCACATTTATTCCACATTTATTCCCGGCACCAATAGTAGTCTGGAAGTTTACTATGTATGCTTCAATCTTTCTCTTACTGCCAAAATTCTTCTGATGCTGTCAATGTTACATTCGACTTTCTCCATGCTGAGTAGACAAGGCGGTCGTCTAATACATTTGTGTTTGCGTGGGTCTCGTTGATGGATGAAACGTTCCCTAGCCTATTGACACACAAGGGAGTGTTCCACCAGTTGTCGCACGTTGTCCATGGTAACACGGACCAGAAGGACGTGTAGATGTAATATATGGACCAGGTAATTATGACATTGTACAGCACACTTCCTAATGAAGATGCTAACACCTGAGAAATACCGATACCTGGAACAAACAATGTTTATCACTGTCTGCATGATAATATTATTTCACTGTCTAACAAATTCAATCTTTTCGATAATGGAACTCATATCTTTTATATTGAAATACAAGTACATACTGCACAGGATGTATAGTTACACTCCTATGTCCGACAAACATTTAGGTAATGAACGACGCAACGATGCAACGATGCAACAATCGAGCTAACCTTTAAACAGAGGACAGAGGACCCACACGTGTGCTGCACTCCTGCTTGAGAACTGGCTGATGGTGATCTCCAGTAAAAACAGCGGGACAGAGCACTTGATGATTCCAATAAAGTAAGGAATGAGAAACGCACCTGTCAACAACGACATGAGCCACAAGTAGAACAAATGACGACAAGACACAAGACACATCATTCTCACCCAATGGTCACCGTAGTAAATGTACAAGGTCACCACCAGAGAATAACCAATCTCGATTATCTAATAAAAAATCAGTCATGACACCAGGTGTTCGCGAAAAGGGTAAGCACGTCCTGCCCTACCGGTTGTACCCGCCACTCACACACCCTTCATAAACAGGTTTGTTGCCTGACGCCGCACAGCATACTCCTGTTACCACTTTCTTGTAAATGCTCGATTGTACCTCAAAAGAGAAAGGTAGACAGGGAAGGCTGGAACCGCTGGACTATTGCGCGGCATTAACGGAACGTTGACTATTATCAAACACATGAATGAGTTGCATTACAGTGGAATGTCCATTTGCCCACAAAATGCGTCTTTTTAACACCGGTCCTTTTATAACGAGCACATTATAAAAAGTAATAAGAATGCATATTGCCCAAAACGAAATACACACTTATTGAATTAATAAGATACAAATATTGTTACATATTGTATATGAATAATGTCTTTTCGCGCTATATAACACTTGCATGGTGTGATTGGAAAACGTTAGCTTCTGAATATCTGAGAGGTTGTGTGTCTGTGAATTACATGTTGTTAATGCTCTGAATAACTGCAAATCTTTACAACTCGCTTACTGATCGTACATGGACATCTCAAAGTTCATATCCTTCACAACGTATAGCTCAACATCAATGTTCACGGTATGCATAATGTCTGTAGCGTTATCTAACACTGGCATGGTATTATATTTGGAACACGTTAACATTTTAATAGCTCATGGTCCCTAAGATTTATAAAGTTTCAAATTGAGCGAATACACGTTTCATACTGACCACCGCCATTCCTGTTACAAAGGTAGGGGAATCGCCACAGAGACCCAAGGCCCACAGTGAACCCAAGGAGCGACAGGATGTACTCTCTTTTTCTCGTCCATTCCTCTCTGGCTGCTACTGAACTGTTTCTATTCTCTTTGCGACAGACATCGTCCAGAAATATTTCACTCTCCGCCATGTTTAGATCCACAATGAGCACTTGTGATGGCGGTTGTTCAGATGTTCCCTGGCAGTAGACAAATAAAAGATTGGCACTGACTGGGACTGATTAAAGAAAAGGCACAACTTGTTCATTGGTTAGTATAGCTTGCTGACGTGCGCATAGTAATCTGAAACCATTTACAACATCTGGTCTACAAGTTGTACTTTTTATAATTGTTAAATTTATGTAACATCTAACCCGCATATTCAAAGTGGTCAAATAACATTTCGTTTAACGTATTCAAAATGTACTGATAATTTAATCGGTATATCATTTTGAGTAAATTATAACAGCACATTGCATCATTCTCAGAAACATTTCGGTTGTATACTTTGTTTGGTTTGCTTTTTAAGAATGGTGTCTTCCAGCGGCTTTAAGATATACTGAACTGACATTGGTTGCACTTGCTGTGTGGTAACTTCTGTATTCTTTCAAGCAATTGACTGATTAATATTATATCATCTGTGCCGAAAAGTCACATTCAAAGAATATGGAAGTTGAAATCAAATAGTTAACACTGTACATTTGTACATTGGAACTTCAGCTTAGATGACAAAATGGTTTAGAAGAAGCTGACAAGGTTTCTGTTTGCTATTAGTTCAAGGATAGCACTTTGATGAAGAAATGGAGGCCACCACATTTTTTTTATTTTGGAATTGATTGTAGCATCCTTGGTAATAACACACCATATGGATTGAATAATGTCGTCATTATTATAAGCAATTACGTGTGCAAAGGTTACGTGTGCGTAGTAATACACTGACTTCTATGCTTAAACATTCAGAGTGATAAAACACGCTCCACAAGACTGTATGACAAGAGGGTGGACTTCATCTTTCCAATTGTCAACTTCCCCTTCATGTCGAGCAATAATCCTGCAGCTCCAGCCCTTGGCGTCTACATTTCAAAACTTTTGAGGAACAAACGAGCAGGCTCTTTCTACCTAGATTTCGAAGAGCGTTATACAACTCCTGTTGTTGTTTGATCAAGATTACAACATCCAGGGTATCAGTAAAGCTTTAAAAAAGTTTTATGAATACACGTAGAGGCCATTTCCAAATTTGACACATCAGTAACAGAAATAATGTCCGATACAATTGCCTATTTTGACTTGTACACCATATTCCCGTTTTTTCAGGTCACCTGCCTTTGCATGGGTTTGTGTGGCGTGCCAACGGTGAGACAGGATACGCTCACCTTTTCGCGAACACCTGGTATCATCACTACATGTGTATTTCATAGTGGCTCATAAATTTCTGTGTTTGTGATGAGTGTCACCGGTGGGTCAGTTTAGGTTTACCTGGTGTCATCACTCTTTGAGAGTGATTCATAAACACATACTCATGGCGGTCGGAATCGTACAATCGCCTCTGTTTTTGGCAGAGATTTCTTATAAATGTGGAAAGGTTTTGTCGCTTATTCAAAGAACACTGCGTCAAAACGATTCAGGCGACGGGAGACTTTACCAAATAGCTGTCATCAAAGAGTGGCGATAAACTGCCAGTCATCCTTGATGATTTGGCTGAGCTATTTATAGGTTACTATAGATGTGTGGAATAGGTGCTATATATATTGGTGATTCTTGGTGATCATATAATGGTGATCGGCGTTCCATCGTTTCCGTCACTAGAATGAGTCGGTGTGTTGCCGAAAAAATGCTCAGGTTACGAGTATGTAACTCACTAACTAGAATGTTATTATATACTTATATACTGTTTATGTTTTATTGGATCATAATTTATTTAAAGTTAGACTATTCCCCTTGAATCCCACTTTAAAGCTATGGCATAAGTATATTGTCTCAACTGTAGATTATAAGTTTGTTTGTTGTTAACGCCGCACTCAGCAATATTCCAGATATATGACGACGGTCTGTAAAAAACGTGAAGCCCACTCCTGGTGTCAATTTGCCGTGATTGATGGAACGTTGCTGAAGGCAATGCAAAACCATAATCCATATAAGATGGACAAGGTTCATCGTCTCTCTTTCACGATTTTGTATCCTCCATTATCCGTGAATACACACGGTCGCGTTGTTGTACTGGTGACTTTTGTCTGTTTTAGTCAAATAATGAATTGAAGCAATGTGTGAAACTCGTGATATATTGTATATTCTGTGGTGTAATCTGAACACTGGAACCTGTACTGTCCTGAGTTGTTGGTTAACCTATCAACTACACTGCACATAGGCTACGGATGGGGGGAGCACTGGAACCTGTTCTGTCCTGAGTTGGTTAACCTAGTATCAACTACACTGCACATAGGCTACGGATGGGGGGAACCCTGGAATCGGTTGTCCTCAGTTGTTGGTTAACCTATTAACTACAGTGCACATAGGCTACGGATGGGGGAACACTGGAACCTGTTCTGTCCTGAGTTGTTGGTTAACCTATTAACTACACTACACATAGGCTACGGATGGGGGAACACTGGAACCTGTTCTGTCCTGAGTTGGTTAACCGATCAACTACAGTGCACATAGGCTACGGATGGGGGGAACCCTGGAATCTGTACTGTCCTGAGTTGTTGGTTAACCTATCAACTACACTGCGCATACTGTACTGGATGTACTGAATATCACAACGTTATTAATATTGTATACCAGAGAATCTATTCCCATCACAAAGAGCATGATGAAGAAGAGGACTGCCCACAGCTGAGACACAGGAAGTTGGGCGATAGCCCCTCGGTAGATGATGAACCCGAGACCAGAACCTGTATCAAATATGTCTATTAGTTGTATGCTGTCGTGATTGTGAGTTAGTGAGTTTAGTTTGAAGCTTCTTTTAGCATTGTTCAAGCAAAACCATGGCAAAAACTAGAAATGGACTTCACACATTTTACGCATGTGAGGAATCGAACGCGGCCTCCTGCATAACGAACGAAAGCCTAAACCACGAACCCAGCACCGCATCCTTAGCGTGAAGAGTCTGTTTTAATGCCGCGTTGAACAGTATTTTAGTTATTACACGTGTTAGCTTGGTG